GTAGGGCCCGGAGGGACCCTGTTCCCGGGGGAGAGGTAACTGTACGCCTCATAGAATACCAGGAAGAGCAGGCCAAACAGCAGGGTTGGGCCCACTGCACTCCAGTTCAGCAACATCGCAACAATCTCCATGCATTACCTACACTTTCAGTTTTAGCAGCTTAGTTATCGTATTTAATTCAGTCCACCTGTTCATAAGCTTACAGTGAGGGGAACAAGTATTTGTTCCCTTGCTGATTTTGTACGTTTACCCACTGACAAAGAAATGATCAGTCTATAATTTTAATGGTAGGTTTATTTGAACAGTGAGAGACAGAGTAACAACAACAAAAATCCAGAAAAACGCATGTAAAAAGTGTTATACATTTATTTGCATTTTAATGAGGGAAATAAGTATTTGACCCCTCTGCAAAACATGACTTAGTACTTGGTGGCAAAACCCTTGTTGGCGATCACAGAGGTCAGACGTTTCTTGTAGTTGGCCACCAGGTTTGCACACATCTCAGAAGGGATTTTGTCCCACTCCTCTTTGCAGATCTTCTCCAAGTCATTAAGGTTTCGAGCCTGACGTTTGGCAACTCGAACCTTCAGCTCCCTCCACAGATTATCTATGGGATTAAGGTCTGGAGACTGGCTAGGCCACTCCAGGACCTTAATGTGCTTCTTCTTGAGCCACTCCTTTGTTGCCTTGGCCGTGTGTTTTGGGTCATTGTCATGCTGGAATACCCATCCACGACCCATTTTCAATGCCCTGGCTGAGGGAAGGAGGTTCTCACCCAAGATTTGACGGTACATGGCCCCGTCCATCGTCCCTTTGATGCGGTGAAGTTGTCCTGTCCCCTTAGCAGAAAACCCCCCCCAAAGCATAATGTTTCCACCTCCATGTTTGACGGTGGGGATGGAGTTCTTGGGGTCATAGGCAGCATTCCTCCTCCTCCAAACACGGCGAGTTGAGTTGATGCCAAAGAGCTCGATTTTGGTCTCATCTGCCCACAACACTTTCACCTCTGAATCATTCAGATGTTCATTGGCAAACTTCAGACGGGCCTGTATATGTGCTTTCTTGAGCAGGGGGACATTGCGGGCGCTGCAGGATTTCAGTCCTTCACGGCGTAGTGTGTTACCAATTGTTTTCTTGGTGACTATGGTCACAGCTGCCTTGAGATCATTGACAAGATCCTCCAGTGTAGTTCTGGGCTGATTCCTCACCGTTCTCATGATCATTGCAACTCCACAAGGTGAGATCTTGCATGGAGGCCCAGGCCGAGGGAGATTAACAGTCTTTTGTGTTTCTTCCATTTGCGAATAATCGCACCAACTGTTGTCACCTTCTCATCAAGCTGCTTGGCGATGGTCTTGTAGCCCATTCCAGCCTTGTGTAGGTCTACAATCTTGTCCCTGACATCCTTGGAGAGCTCTTTGTTCCTGGCCATGGTGGAGAGTTTGGAATCTGATTGATTGCTCCCTTTAAGAGTGTGCTCCTAATCTCAGTTTGTTACCTGTATAAAAGACACCTGGGAGCCAGAAATCTTTCTGATTGAGAGGGGGTCAAATACTTATTTCCCTCATTAAAATGCAAATCAATTCATAACATTTTTGACACGCATTTTCTGGATTTTTTTGTTGTTATTCTGTCTCACTGTTCAAATAAACCTACCATTAAAATTATAGACTGATCATTTCTTTGTCAGTGGGCAAACGTACAAAATCAGCAGGGGATCAAATACTTTTTTCCCTCACTGTACATTCTTTAACTTCTACCTGGGTCCTTCCTTTTATCTCCCATTCTGGTTTACCTGAGGCTAATAGAAGTCCTAGCTGACTGTATAGACTACCGCTACAGCCTTCCTTTCAATACAAGGGCTCTGGGCTGGGCAAAGGAGGGAGATCCCAAGCTCAGTTCAGAGGGTTTCCACTAGTGCAGGACAAGTCACTACTAAACAGAGCTTGTTTATACTGCTAGACTGGTGTGACAGCTCCTTCCATTGACCCGAGAGAAAAACACATGCCAGGGCTGTATTCATTAGTGCACAACATGGCAAACCATAGCAAAAAGTTGTGCAACAAAAACAAGAGTTTCTTATTGGAAAAGTTTAACTAATCCCTCTGGCGTTAAGGTCTGTTTGGTTCCGAGTAAATACACCGCAGGGGCTTTTCTAGGAAAAGGTTCACTTTGGTGACACAACCTCTACCATTACGTAATAACAGAAATCTGTAAACCAAAGTAAAGTTTACTATCAACAAACAATATGAATAATAATAATAATAATAATAATAATAATAATAATAATAATACAGTGACCTTGTATGCTATACTTGCGCAATAAGGCCCGAGGAGGTGTGGTATATGGCCAATATACCACGGCTAAGGGCTGTTCTTAGGCACGATGCAACGCGGAGCCCTTAGCGCTGAGGTGCCTTACTGCTATTATAAAACTGGTTACCAACATAATTAGATCAGTAAAAATAAATGGTTTAGTCATACCCGTGATATACGGTCTGATATACAGTGGGGGAAAAAAAGTATTTAGTCAGCCACCAATTGTGCAAGTTCTCCCACTTAAAAAGATGAGGCCTGTAATTTTCATCATAGGTACACGTCAACTATGACAGACAAATTGAGAAAAGAAAATCCAGAAAATCACATTGTAGGATTTTTTATGAATTTATTTGCAAATTATGGTGGAAAATAAGTATTTGGTCACCTACAAACAAGCAAGATTTCTGGCTCTCACAGACCTGTTACTTCTTCTTTAAGAGGCTCCTCTGTCCTCCACTCGTTACCTGTATTAATGGCACCTGTTTGAACTTGTTATCAGTATAAAAGACACCTGTCCACAACCTCAAACAGTCACACTCCAAACTCCACTATGGCCAAGACCAAAGAGCTGTCAAAAGACACCAGAAACAAAATTGTAGACCTGCACCAGGCTGGGAAGACTGAATCTGCAATAGGTAAGCAGCTTGGTTTGAAGAAATCAACTGTGGGAGCAATTATTAGGAAATGGAAGACATACAAGACCACTGATAATCTCCCTCGATCTGGGAATCCACGCAAGATCTCACCCCGTGGGGTCAAAATGATCACAAGAACGGTGAGCAAAAATCCCAGAACCACACAGGGGGACCTAGTGAATGACCTGCAGAGAGCTGGGACCAAAGTAACAAAGCCTACCATCAGTAACACACTACGCCACTAGTGCCAGACGTGTCCCCCTGCTTAAGCCAGTACATGTCCAGGCCCGTCTGAAGTTTGCTAGAGTGCATTTGGATGATCCAGAAGAGGATTGGGAGAATGTCATATGGTCAGATGAAACCAAAATAGAACTTTTTGGTAAAAACTCAACTCGTCGTGTTTGGAGGACAAAGAATGCTGAGTTGCATCCAAAGAACACCATACCTACTGTGAAGCATGGGGGTGGAAACATCATACTTTGGGGCTGTTTTTCTGCAAAGGGACCAGGACGACTGATCCGTGTAAAGGAAAGAATGGGGCCATGTATCGAGAGATTTTGAGTGAAAACCTCCTTCCATCAGCAAGGGCATTGAAGATGAAACGTGGCTGGGTCTTTCAGCATGACAATGATCCCAAACACACCGCCCGGGCAACGAAGGAGTGGCTTCGTAAGAAGCATTTCAAGGTCCTGGAGTGGCCTAACCAGTCTCCAGATCTCAACCCCATAGAAAATCTTTGGAGGGAGTTGAAAGTCTGTGTTGCCCAGCGACAGCCCCAAAACATCACTGCTCTAGAGGAGATCTGCATGGAGGAATGGGCCAAAACACCAGCAACAGTGTGTGGAAACCTTGTGAAGACTTACAGAAAACGTTTGACCTGTGTCATTGCCAACAAAGGGTATATAACAAAGTATTGAGAAACTTTTGTTATTGACCAAATACTTATTTTCCACCATAATTTGCAGATAAATTCATTAAAAATCCTACAATGTGATTTTCTGGAATTTGTTTTCTCATTTTGTTTGTCATAGTTGACGTGTACCTATGATAAATTACAGGCCTCTCATCTTTTTAAGTGGGGGAACTTGCACAATTGGTGGCTGACTAAATACTTTTTTTCCCCACTGTACCACAGCTGTCAGCCAATCAGCATTCAGGGCTCGAACCACCCAGTTTCAAAAAGTCGATAGAGTCCAGTGTCCTGCTGATTGTACTCATGTTATAGTAGTAGAGCAGCTGCAGTTCTGTCAATTACTACTAAAGCTGATTGTAAACATTTGTACTTATGAGTAAAATCATAAAACTCATCCATCATAAATTGTGTATTGATCTTGTACTGTATTGTATGTAGAGTGGCCGTAGTTTGCGGTCCTGAACAGGCAATATCATGGGCGTGGCAATTCAAAAACAAAAAAATAAAGGGGCCGTTTCCTGAACACAAATTAAGAATCTCTATTGGAAATGCTTTTAGTCCAGGAATAGACTTAATCTGTCTAGGAAACCATCCGAAAGTGTCTGCAGCCAACAAATAATGTCACCAAAAACAAATTGTTGTTGATTTGCTTTAACTTTATTTATTTGTATGGATTTTTGTGTTTTTGTCTTATTTTTTTATATTTTTTTTCCACCCTTACTATAGGTCTTTTTGGCACTACATAATTATCTGATAGGGGTGGGCATGTTAAAATGTTGTTTTTTGTTTTAACAAATGTCTATTCAAAGCTTTTATCCTTAAGCAAGCAAAGTAGGAACACAGCTAATAAAAATAAAGGATAATTTTTACCTCCTTACTTTACACAAAATAAAAACACTTTTTGGACCCCTTCAGAAATGGGGGTATTAAAATATTTGACATTTGTATCACAAATCAATGTAATGAGACAAAAAAACAAACACGTAAAAACTGTACAAAAAAATGATAAAATTCATTTTAAAAAGTCTTGTGACCAGATGATGCAAAGTTAGATTATATAGTTTTAGTTTTATCATGGTGAAGGACCATAAAGCCTAATTGAATTAAGATGCTATGGGAGCAGAGTTCAGAGTTCATTTCTTCTGCTGGATGTAGTTGAGGTTGACGTGATGTCGTCCGTGGGGGAGGAGCGGGTAATGCTGATTGGGGTGCACCACAGAACCTGGGGTGAGGCCAAGACAAAGAAGGAAGTAAAGTTAACTACTGTAGGGGCATTTTTGTAAGATCGAAGGGGAGAATTATTTAGATTAGACCAATCAATGAAGTACTACAAATGATACTAAATGAGAGGTGGCATCCTAAGAGTCTGCAGTACATGTCCTAGCAGAACGCCTCTCCTGCCCGTATCCGTATTAGAGGTCTTCTCTGGTCTGAAAGTTGAAGCCGTTCCGAAATGGATCGGTGGCTTTCCCACCCCACCAGATATGCAATAAACAAGCAATATTGGCCAAATGAACTACAGTTAAGTGTCTTTAAAAACTGCCTACAAAAAATTACAAAAAACTATTAGTTGTGTTTTGACGTGTAGCATATTCAAAACAATGGACTATACTTTCCTAATAAATACACACCACCATTCAAAAGTTTGGGGTCACTTACAAAATGTCATTTTTTTCGAAAGAAAAGCAAATTTTGTGTCTATTAAAATAACATCAAATTGATCAGAAATACAGTGTAGACATTGTTAATGTTGTAAATGGCTATTGTAGCTGGAAATGGCTGATTTTTTATGGAATATCTACATAGGCGTACAGAGGCCCATTATCAGCAAGCATCAGTCCTGTGTTCCAATGGCACGTTGTGTTTGCTAATCCAAGTTTATCATTTTAAAAGGCTAATTGATCATTAGAAAACCCTTTTGCAATTATGTTAGCACAGCTGAACAGTGTTGTGCTGATTAAAGAAGCAATACAACTGGCCTTCTTGAGACTAGTTGAGTATCTGGAGCATCAGCAATTGTGGGTTCGATTACATCTTACATTTTAGTCATTTAGCAGACGCTCTTATCCAGAGCGACTTACAGTTAAGTGAGTGCATACATTTTCATACTTAAACTGTCTCTAACCAGAATAGAAAGAGGAGTGGGAGGCCCCGGTGCACAACTGAGCAAGAGGACAAATACATTAGTGTCTAGTTTGAGAAAGACGCCTCACAGGTCCTAAACTGGCAGCTTCATTAAATAGTACCCGCAAAACACCAGTCTCAACGTCAACAGTGAAGATGTGACTCCGGGATGCTGACCTTGTAGGCAGAGTTGCAAAGAAAAAGCCATATCTCAGACTGGCCAATAAAAATAAAAGATTAAGATGAGAAAAAGAACACTGGACTTTTTCTTTGCAACTCTGCCTAGAAGGTCAGCATCCCGGAGTCGCATCTTCACTGTTAACGTTGAGACTGGTGTTTTGCGGGTACTATTTAATGAAGCTGCCAGTTGAGGACCAGCTACAATAGCCATTTACAACATTAACAATGTCTACACTGTATTTCTGATCAATTTGATGTTATTTTAAAATGGACAAAAAAATTGCTTTTCTTTCGAATACAAGGACATTTCTAAGTGACCCCAAACTTGAACGGTAGTGTATATACATACACACACACACATACAACTGGTGAAAAGTTTTAGAACACCTACTCATTCAAATGGTTTTTCCTTTATTTTCACATTGTAGAATAATAGTGAAGACATCAAAACTATGAAATAACACATATGGAATCATGTAGTAACCAAAGTATTAAACAAATCAAAACATTATATATTTGAGTCTTCAAAGTAGCTCCCCTTTGCCTTGATGACAGCTTTGCACACTCTTGGCATTCTCTCAACCAGCTTCACCTGGAATGCTTTTCCAACAGTCTTGAAGGAGTTCCCACATATGCTGAGCACTTGTTGGCTGCTTTTCCTTCACTCTGCGGTCCAACTCATCTCAATTTGGTTGAGCTCGGGGGATTGTGGAGGCCAGGTCATCCGATGCAGCACTCCATCACTCTCCTTCTTGGTAAAATAGCCCTTACACAGCCTGGAGGTGTGTTGGGTCATTGTCCTGTTGAAAAACAAATGATAGTCCCACTAAGCCCAAAACAGATGGGATGGCGTATCGCTGCAGAATGCTGTGGTAGCCATGCTGGTTAAGTGTGCCTTGAATTCTAAATAAATCACAGACAGTGTCACCAGCAAAGCACCCCCACACCATAACACCACCTCCATGCTTTACGGTGGGAACTACACATGCGGAGATCATCCGTTCACCTACACTGCGTCTCACAAACACATGGCAGTTGGAACCCAAAAAATCCAATTTGGACTCCAGACCAAAGGACAAATTTCCACCGGTCGTGTTTCTTGGCCCAAGCAAGTCTCTTCTTATTATTGGTGTCCTTTTGTAGTGGTTTCTTTGCAGCAATTTGACCATGCAGGCCTGATTCACACAGTCTCCTCTGAACAGTTGATGTTGAGATGTGTCTGTTACTTGAACTCTGCGAAGCATTTATATGGGCTGCAATTTCTGAGACTGGTAACTAACAAACTTATCCTCTGCAGCAGAGGTAACTCTGGGTCTTCCATTCCTGTGGCGGTCCTCATGAGAGCCAGTTTCATCATAGCGCTTGATGGTTTTGTGACTGCACTTGAAGAAACTTTCAAAGTTACCAAATAGGGCTATCTTCTGTATAACCCCCCTACCTTGTCACAACACAACTGATTGGCTCAAACACATTAAGAAGGAAATACATTCCACAAATTAACTTTTAAGAAGGCACACCTGTTTAATTGAAATGCATTCCAGGTGACTACCTCATGAAGCTGGTTGAGAGAATGCCAAGAGTGTGTAAATTGTCATCAAGGCAAAGGGTGGCTATTTGAAGAATCTCAAATATAAAACATATTTTGATTTGTTTAACACTTTTTTGGTTACTACATGATTCCATGTGTTATTTCATAGTTTTGATGTCTTCACCATTATTCTACAATGTAGAAAATAGTACAAATAAAGAAAACCCCTTGAATGAGTAGGTGTTCTAAAACCTTTGTGTATGTATGTATGTATGTATGTATGTATGTATGTATGTATGTATGTATGTATGTATGTTTGTATTTTATTTTAAAAAATTGGGGGGGGGGGGGGGGTTACTTTTTACTCATTTTTCTCCCCAATTTTGTGATATCCAATTGGTAATTACAGTCTTGTCCCATCACTGCAACTCCCGTACGGACTCGGGAGAGGCGAAGGTCGAGAGCCATGTGTCCTCTGAAATACGACCGCCAAGCCGCACTGCTTCTTGAAACACTGCCCGCTTAACCCGGAAGCCAGCCGCACCAATGTGTCGGAGGAAACACCGTACAGCTGGCGACCGAAGTCAGCGTGCAGGCCGCCACAAGGAGTCGCTAGAGCGTGATGGGACAAGGACATCCCAGCCGGCCAAACCCTCCCCTAACCCGGACGACATTGGGCAAATTGTGCGCCGCCTCATGGGTCTCTCGGTCGCTGCGACACAGCCCGGGATCGAACCCGGAGCTGTAGTGACGCCTCTAACACTGCGATGTAGTGCCTTAGACCGCTGCGCGCTACTCGGGAGGCCCATAAAAGTTGTTTACCTTACGGTTCAGCTGGCAGAGATTTGAGCGATAACTGCATCAGGGCATTGCAAGCCTATAGGCCTAGGCGTCCACTGTATTTTATTAATATTTTACAAATACATATTAAAAAGAGACAAGCTTAGGCCTAGCTCTAGAGAGACCGGTATGCCGGCGCTATGTTCCCGACAGACATTTTTTTAATCCTTGTCAGAGAGAGAGATAGAGATATATATACAGAGGGGAGAACAAGTATTTGATACACTGCCGATTTTGCAGGTTTTCCTACTTACAAAGCATGTAGAGGTCTGTAATTTTTATCATAGGTACACATCAACTGTGAGAGATGGAATCTAAAACAGAAAATCACATTGTATGATTTTTAAGTAATTAATTTGCATTTTATTGCATGACAAGTATTTGATCACCTACCAACCAGTAAGAATTCCAGCTCTCACAGACCTGTTAGTTTTTCTTTAAGAAGCCCTCCTGTTCTCCACTCATTACCTGTATTAACTGCACCCGTTTGAAGTTGTTACCTGTATAAAAGACACCTGTCCACACACTCAATCAAACAGACTCCAACCTCTCCACAATGGCCAAGACCAGAGAGCAGTGTAAGGACATCAGGGATAAAATTGTAGACCTGCACAAGGCTGGGATGGGCTACAGGACAATAGGCAAGCAGCTTGGTGAGAAGGCAACAACTGTTGGCGCAATTATTAGAAAATAGAAGAAGTTCAAGATGACGGTCAATCACCCTCGGTCTGGGGCTCCATGCAATATCTCACCTCGTGGGGCATCAATGATCATGAGGAAGGTGAGGGATCAGCCCAGAACTACACGGCAGGACCTGGTCAATGACCTGAAGAGAGCTGGGACCACAGTCTCAAAGAAAACCATTAGTAACACACTACGCCGTCATGGATTAAAATCCTGCAGCGCACGCAAGGTCCCCCTGCTCAAGCCAGCGCATGTCCAGGCCCGTCTGAAGTTTGCCAATGACCATCTGGATGATCCAGAGGAGGAACGGGAGAAGGTCATGGGGTCTGATGAGACAAAAATAGAGATTTTTGGTCTAAACTCCACTCGCCGTGTTTGGAGGAAGAAGAAGGATGAGTACAACCCCAAGAACACCATCCCAACCGTGAAGCATGGAGGTGGAAACATCATTCTTTGGGGATGCTTTTCTGCAAAGGGGACAGGACAACTGCACCGTATTGAGGGGAGGATGGATGGGGCCATGTATCGCGAGATCTTGGCCAACAACCTCCTTCCGTCAGTAAGAGCATTGAAGATGGGTCGTGGTTGGGTCTTCCAGCATGACAACGACCCAAAACACACAGCCAGGGCAACTAAGGAGTGGCTCCGTAAGAAGCATCTCAAGGTCCTGGAGTGGCCTAGCCAGTCTCCAGACCTGAACCCAATAGAAAATCTTTGGAGGGAGCTGAAAGTCAGTATCGCCCAGCGACAGCCCCGAAACCTGAAGGATCTGGAGAAGGTCTGTATGGAGGAGTGGGCCAAAATCCCTGCAGTAGTGTGTGCAAACCTGGTCAAGACCTACAGGAAACGTATGATCTCTGTAATTGCAAACAAAGGTTTCTGTACCAAATACACTGCTCAAAAAAATAAAGGGAACACTTAAACAACACAATGTAACTCCAAGTCAATCACACTTCTGTGAAATCAAACTGTCCACTTAGGAAGCAACACTGATTGACAATAAATGTCACATGCTGTTGTGCAAATGGAATAGACAACAGGTGGAAATTATAGGCAATTAGCAAGACACCCTCAATAAAGAAGTGGTTCTGTAGGTGGTGACCACAGACCACTTCTCAGTTCCTATGCTTCCTGGATGATGTTTTGGTCACTTTTGAATGCTGGCGGTGCTTTCACTCTAGTGGTAGCGTGAGACCGAGTCTACAACCCACACAAGTGGCTCAGGTAGTGCAGCTCATCCAGGATGGCACATCAATGCGAGCTGTGGCAAGAAGGTTTGCTGTGTCTGTCAGCGTAGTGTCCAGAGCATGGAGGCGCTACCAGGAGACAGGCCAGTACATTAGGAGACGTGGAGGAGGCCGTAGGAGGGCAACAACCCAGCAGCAGGGCCGCTACCTCCGCCTTTGTGCAAGGAGGAGCAGGAGGAGCACTGCCAGAGCCCTGCAAAATCACCTCCAGCAGGCCACAAATGTGCATGTGTCTGCTCAAACGGTCAGAAACAGACTCCATGAGGGTGGTATGAGGGCCCGACGTCCACAGGTGGCGGTTCTGCTTACAGCCCAACACCGTGCAGGACGTTTGGCATTTGCCAGAGAACCACTGGCGCCCTGTGCTCTTCACAGATGAAAGCAGGTTCACACTGAGCACATGTGACAGACGTGACAGAGTCTGGAGACGCCGTGGAAAACGTTCTGCTGCCTGCAACATCCTCCAGCATGACCGGTTTGGCGGTGGGTCAGTCATGGTGTGGGGTGGCATTTCTTTGGGGGGCCGCACAGCCCTCCATGTGCTCGCCAGAGGTAGCCTGACTGCCATTAGGTACCGAGATGAGATCCTCAGACTCCTTGTGAGACCATATGCTGGTGCGGTTGGCCCTGGGTTCCTCCTAATGCAAGACAATGCTAGACCTCATGTGGCTGGAGTGTGTCAGCAGTTCCTGCAAGAGGAAGGCATTGATGCTATGGACTGGCCCGCCCGTTCCCCAGACCTGAATCCAATTGAGCACATCTGGGACATCATGTCTCGCTCCATCCACCAACGCTACGTTGCACCACAGACTGTCCAGGAGTTGGCGGATGCTTTAGTCCAGGTCTGGGAGGAGATCCCTCAGGAGACCATCCGCCACCTCATCAGGAGCATGCCCAGGCGTTGTAGGGAGGTCATACAGGCACGTGGAGGCCACACACACACACAACTGAGCCTCATTTTGACTTTTTTTAAGGACATTACATCAAAGTTGGATCAGCCTGTAGTGTGGTTTTCCACTTTAATTTCGAGGGTGACTCCAAATCCAGACCTCCATGGGTTGATAAATTTGATTTCCATTGATAATTTGTGTGTGATTTTGTTGTCAGCACATTCAACTATGTAAAGAAAAAAGAATTTAATAAGATTATTTCATTCATTCAGATCTAGGATGTGTTGTTTAAGTGTTCCCTTAATTTTTTTGAGCAGTGTATTAAGTTCTGCTTTATCAAATACTTATGTCATGCAATAAAATGCAAATAAATGACTCAAAAATCATACAATGTGATTTTCTGGATTTTTGATAAAAATGACAGACCTCTACATGCTTTGTAAGTAGGAAAACCTGCAAAATCGGCAGTGTATCAAATACTTGTTCTCCCCACTGTGTGTGTGTGTGTGTGTGTGTGTGTGTGTATATATAGCAGACGCAGTTGCCTAATTCGTAAATTTTTGATCAGAATATATTTTATAAAGATAAGCATTATATTGTTAGATTAAAAGGACTAACTCTGGTAGGCATAAAACATTCTTCCTCAACTCAAGTTCACCTTCATAGGCCTGCAGTACCTAAACTTAATAGGCATACCACACCTAGGGCTGTGGAGGTCACGAAATTTCGTCAGCCGGTGATTGTCAAGCAAATAAATGTCGGTCTCACGGTAATTGACCGTTAATTAACAAACACATTTTGCATCTCCTGACTTCCAAACATCTACATTTTCAAAAGTCTAATAAATCCATGTAATATAGCCTACACCTTCACAATAAATCCATTATTTATTTTAGACAGGTCTAAAGAAGCATGATATTAAGAAAATGTAGTCTATTTCAGAAGAACAGATTATGTTAGGTCCTGATCTGGCTATGCAAAAATGGCTGTGGGCTACACTAGTTCATTTAGCAGACAAGATTTGCTTTGAATTCCGTGGCATTATTTTATAGTATGAAGAATACAATTTTTCTATTTTCTCCAAACGATTTGATGGAGTGCGCACATCCGGCTATTCTGTGTTGAGCAGTTGACAAAGAAATAGGTACTCCTATATGCTTAATTCAGAGATATTAATGTAACTTTAGTTGTTCTACAAAACATTGGCCTATATGTTTACATTTTTGATTTAAAAAGGGACCATTATCATGCACCTGTATCGAAACAGGGGCAGCCGGAAAGAATACATGTAATCTATGCACTTAAATAGCAAATGGAGGACGCTTTTCCCTGTGGTTTATTTTCATGCCAGCCAGGTAGGCTATACTCCTGTTGTAAAGAGAAGCAATGTGCTTAATATTAGGAAAGTTTGTAAATAAATATAGTAGGCCTAGCTTATAGAAAGCTGATCCTCCTCTTTTCAGTAGAGGCCATCACTCCGTTTTCTTACGCAATTGTATAGCCTATAGAAATGTTGCGCAACATGAGCTCATTGGCTCTCATGAAGTGTTTGATTAGATTTTCGAAGACATTTGCATTGATGTCAGAGTGATTAGAGGGACAATAGAGTGCTGAGTACCAGGCAGTTAACAAGTTTGGTAGGCTACTAATGACCATCAGCAGCATCAGAGCTTGGAGAAGCCTAATTACAGTTGAAACTGTGAATAACTCTAATCCGCATCTCTCTCTCTCTCCGAGCCTCTTACCTTGGGACATGAAGGGCTTGCCGGGTTGTGGGTAACCCCCGTTGCCCTGCTGGATGAAGTTCTGTGGCATGCGGTAAGGCCAGGACGGGGACAGGGAGTAGTGGGCCGTGTTGCTGTGCTCCCAGGTCCTAGAACCCTGCTGGCTCACACCCCCGAACTGGGTCTTGTAGCCTGGGTCTGCAGGGAGAGGGAGGAGGGAGGAATGGTTGGATGGATGGAGGGAGAGCATTACATTTGGTCAACAAAACATCGTTGGAAAATTGAAACAAGGAACTACTCAGCCAACCACAATAATTTGATATCATCCTTCTGTCCCAGCACCAGTTTAAGTGCACAGTGAATTAAGTGTGTAGCCCAAAACCACCAGTGTCTCTTACCTGACCACACAATCAGCACCATTAACAAGGAAACAGACAGTTACTGCTAAAGACAAGGACAGAATCTGACCAGTTAGTCAGACAAAGGCTGACTGTTCCGACAACTAGCAGAGACAGACAGACAGAGACAGTGCCACCCAGTGTGTACCTGACTTGCCCACAGTGCCATTAGCCACCAATGCCCCCTGTTGTGCCAGGTGGTTGTGCCAGTGCCCGTCCCGTCCCCGCCCTCCTCCCAGGCCCATGGGCCTCCCCGCCGGCTGGGCGAAGATGATGCTGGGGTCATTTAGGTTCATAGGGCTAGGGCTGCCACCCCCCGAAGATCCCCCTGGCCCTATGTTCCCGTTCCCTGGCCCAGGGGCCTGGCGCGGAGGGAATTTGAGGCCGGGCGGGGAGGGCCCTCCAGGGCCGCTGGAAGTCTGGAGGATGGGGCCGTGGATGGGCCAGGAGTTGGAGGGGTGGTGGTGTTGGTGATGGGCCTGGTGCCCCTGGGACTGATGTGACTGGTGCTGGTGTTGGTTGTGGTGGGACGGCAGCAGTCCCAGAGCAGTGAGAGCTGCAGAGTGGTGGTACTGGCCCGGGTGGGAGGGAGGGAAGCCGAAGAGAGAGAGGGGAACCTGGGGGTGTTGGGGCTGCTTGGGGGGTCCCCCTCCAGCGGAGGTCTTGGAGGAGGATTGGGGGGAGCTGGAGGATTGGCTGGAACCCTGGGAGAACGGGTTGGGCTGGGGGGAATAGGGCGGAGTATGGTGGGAATCAGACTGGGGGGGGGGCAGGGTAAGGATGTAGCGGGAAAGACAGGAAGGGAAAAAGACCGGAAGGGAAAGAGAGAAATCAATTAAAAAGGCATCACTATACATACAGGTCTGTAGTGATACATCAAGAAGCTAGCTGCAGCATGTTTGAACATGGTTAGGGAGGCTAAGGGAGAGACAGACAACGCCCTGTTGTACTCACACATTCAGAGGGTTGTCTGGTGCGTCCGGGGCGGTCCTGTGGAGGCTGGGGGATGGGGATGGACTGGGAGCTCACCATGGCTTGCACCATGTGGGGAACTGGAGGAAATGGAAGCAAACTATCACATCACTCAGTCAATGAGCCACTGCTGCCCTCTGCTGGGCAGTAGTAGTCATGACAAAATACAGGGCTTTAAAATCAACAATTAGATCCTGTACATGGGCTCCGATACGATAATACGATACGTTTTAGTTTGAAACGATTCGGTGCCATTCGGTTTGATTAGAGAACGAATCGATGCGATTCAACGTAATACGATCTGATACACTAACATTTGTTGCATAAACACATTCATTTTCCATTCTAAATAAAAAGCTGCTGCTGGAGCTCATGAGCTGGGACTCTCAGAGCTGGATCTGTCTGAGTTTGTTATTTTTGCAGATTAATGTTTGAGCTTTTAATGTATCAATATTTATCATTTACAAATTAGCTATGACATAGCCAATGAATATATAGCACAACTTTGGATTTCACCCCCCATCTCAAAATCAAATGGTTTTGACCGTTTTTACAGATTGATCTTCCCTTCTCCTCTAGTTTTGGCCATGCAGTGTGCCTCGCAAAAGTGATTGCTGTCCTCGTTATGAAATAATTAACTTTACCCTGTGTATAAAAAAATGACCATATACACTGATTGTTTAAAGCAAAACTACCAAAAATATTGCTGATGGTGAACCTGAACAATCAAAATAACATCTATTGTAAGCCTCGTTCAGCAGGTAGACATATAGCCAGTTGTGTCTCCAAAACCGGAATAAAAGGAAGTTAAACCAGCGCATAGATAAACTAAATTACATCCGACCGATGCATGCTACATTTGGATCGGTTTGGGGTCCGTGGACCGATGCACTTGTATCTTAAACATTTGAATTGGGGACCGATGCGTATCGGTGAATCGTTACATTCCTACCTGAATTTGTCCAATAGAAACTCTTGTTTTGCTCTGTTTGCTTCCGTTTGGTTCTCAAATGGTAAACTGTTTCCGTAATGAATTCACCCCAGAGGTGTAATTATTAGAAGAAGACTGTAGCAAACAGTTGCAAAACCTTTTACAACGGAAACAGTTTACTCCAAATGGAAAATGTTTTGCCAACGGAAACAGGAGTTTCTATTCGACAAATTCAGGTAGGTCCCTCCCAGTTCCATTTCCAGATCAGGTGTGTGTGTGTGTGCGTACCTGGTCCCCCTGAAGCTCTCTGTCTAAGATGACGGTACTCTTGGCAGTCCCTCCGTACATGACCTATGTCACCACACTGGAAACAGCGACGCTCCCGCGGCTCATGTTCGTCTCCCTCCTTCACATCCTCCTCCTTCTCCTTCTTCCTCATCCCCCTGTTCGGACAAACACACACACACAAGCAGAGGATTAGCGCACTCAAACATGCAGCCACCACTTGACCTAGGTTCAAAGACTATTATAAATCATTTCAAATACTGCATCTGTGCTTGATTGAGCTTGTCTTGCAACAGAACCAATAGAAAAAAAAGTATCAAAAGTGCAAACTCCTCCCACCTGGCCAGGCAAGCTAAAGCAAAAGCTCAAAGTACTTGAAATATTTAAAATAGTATTTGAAACCAGGTCTGCTAAACACACACACACACACTAGTTCCGAAAAAACTCACTGATATTCTCTCCCAGTGTACCTGCGTCTCTTGGGGCAGTCCTTCATGTAATGGCCGATCTTGCCACAGACCCGACAGCACCTGTCATTAGGTGCCAGCTCCCCGTCCGTTAGCACCTTGGAGTCAAAGAAGTAGTACTGCACCACAGAAGAAACAATGTTAGAGATGAGAACAGGTCTTCTATAGACAGTGTCTGTACAGCCAGGGCAACAATGCCTATATTTACACTGTGTCTCAGAGTGCAGATCTTGGATCAGGTCCCCCTCTTGTTCATGAACATTTAAAGGGCAAAAATGATCTTATATCAGCACTCTGAATACAGCCCTATATATAGTGTGTGCCATACCGCCTCCAAGCCAGGCTGGGGGTAGAAGGGAGTACCAAACAGCTTCCTGCCGTTGATAAAGGCCTTCATGATGAAGTTAGTCACTGAGGAGACACAGAGAAGGGATGTGTTGGGGATCACTGAAATACTACAGAGAGCACAGACCATAATCACTAAAGTACTGATGTAGATTACATACTTGGCCTGATAAGGATAACTTTCAATAAATTCTGTGATTTTCCAGAAATCCTTGGTGGAGGATTCATTGAAAGTTCCTGAAATTTTGCAACCCTACTTAGGAGACATAGTTCACTTACTTTTGCGAGAAACTCCAGCACCAAGATTGTGATTCAAGTCAAAGGGATCTAAGGAACAAACAAAAGTAAATCGGTGATCAATCGGTCCCTTCATCATCACAACCATGTGAGTGAGTAGGATAGTTTCACTACCTTCGATAGCAATGCACTTTGAGGTCCACTGCTTCTCGAAGGTGGTGAGTCGTTTCCTCTGGCGGATGCTAATGACGTGCTCCTTAAAGTCAAACTCCTCGGTGTAGAACCTGAGCAGGCCCAGCCACAGCTCCCCCACAGACTCACGGTTCTGCTGCAGCTCTGGCAGACGACGACGCTACGAGGGTGGACAAGGGACAGTGAGCTTTATCATCTTCAGAACTCTTTTAGAGAATGCTTTTGACTACAATGACTAGTAAGCAAAACAACAAGCTTATTCAAGGTCATCATTCAGGAGAGGCAGACGTGTGTAGGATTTGTTACATTCAGTTGCGTTGATGACTTAACAACTCACCAGTTCCTCAAGGTCATCACAGAAGAAGGCATTCCAACCATCCACCATCCTCTGTGGTACAGTGTGTCCGTCAAAGATCTAAGGAACAGGTCGAAATTGGGTTATTTCCTAAAGCTTTTCAAATTGCTTTTACAAAGACTTTCAGCGGGTTCTGTTGGTGTCAGCTACATCCCTACAGACAGGCTAGAACAGGATGTGCTTGTTAAAAGGGTTAACAGAGGGTAAGTGAACAGTACCTCTTGGAGAACAGGGATGATGGGGGGCTGTCTCTGCTGCAGGAAGTATAACACCATGAGGATGTAGGCGTAGGACGACAGACTTCCTCTGGACGCGTCACCTATGTCACAGCGCTTTGCAAACACCTTCATGGTGTATCCCAGGAACTGCACGCGAGGGTCTACAGCAGCGTAGGTAGCCAGCATTCTGGTGTTGTGTTGAGCCTGGAAGAGAGGACAGATGCCAATGAATCCATACAGACGGCTAGTACACAATTACACTGATAACAGCAACTTAGCTTTACTTACAAAATACCTGTTACCCAATGATAGTTCTCTGTCCCTTACCAGTCCTTGTTATGGCGATCAGTAATGTTAAGTACACTTTGTGATTGCAAATTATCTCAGTTTACTCACAAGAGTATTGTAGAGGCTGATATCTGCCTCCAGTCCACTCTGTCTGTGTTCAAACTTCACAATAGGCACTTTGGCTGTTGTAATAGGCAGGATGTTCCTCAGACCTGACAGAGGAAAACACAGGTAATCAATCACCAAACAAGCAATCACCAAGTCACAAAATATGACTGTCTGTACTCATAACAAGCAGTCAAACCATGCATCCTGAAAGGAGTCAATGTAATGTGCTCTCTTACCTGTGTTTCTCTTCAGCACCTTGGCTAGGTCTTCAATTATCTCTTTGCAGTTCAACTTCTGTTGAGTAGAGGGGTAGACAGATATACATATCAGAATGACTGGGGAGACAAAGAACTGCAGGAAAGAGTTTCAAATTAAAATGTCAAAATGTCCACCAGTCAGTGAGTCCACGTACCTCTCCGGTGTCGTGGCCCTCCAAGGTCATGCAGATGTCCAGGTCGCTGTCACGGAAACCAAAGCCATTCTTGGAGGAACCAAACAAACACAGCTGGGCCTTGTCTGTAGGATGATATCATAGAAGATTTATAATACCATACTGAGGTGGTACTACACAGTATTGTAAGTTCCATATTCCTGTGCACTGCTGTTACATATGCAATTTAGTCATCTGTAGGTACCATTGTATTCCTTTCGTATAAACCTCTCCAGACTACCCATGATCTGTTCTCTCTTCTGCTGCTCTCCAAGAGAGGGGGACAGCTCATCTACAAACACAGACATCAGAAAAATTATATTTAGCGTGCTTGAGTATTCCCATTTGTGCATGTGAAGTCTATATACAGGTTTTACCAGTGTAGTGTTCAAGACATGTCTTAGCTCCATAATATAGAAGATATGTTTGGACAAAATCACTCAAACAAACTCCTTCCAAGATGGCAGAATAATGTTAATCAGCAGATGACTTACGGTAGCAGAGTCTACAAAGGCCATCCAGGATGTCTCTGAAGCGGTCAGTCATGGGAGGCAGCGGTTTGAGCTCGATCTTCTTGAAGTCCTCAGGACAATCGTCCTTCAGATGGCCATCTCTCTTACAGATGCTACACACGACCGTAGGAGGCTGCAGGGGAGATAATTAAATAAAGATGACTGACCTGTTGGAAAGCAAAGCCTGTGAACTTAATTCTGGAACTTATACTAAAAACCTCTGTCAAAGCAAGTCTAGAATTTTCATTATCCAATTCAAAACAATCAAAAAAGCATTTTGTACAGGTACCTTTCCTCCTGTGAAGATCATCCTGTCAAATATATAATGCAGGTCCTCTGGTGAAATATGTCCCTGCTTCTCTGACACATGCTTATCCTCCTCTTCATCACTGTCCAGCAGGCCGTTCTGGGGCGAGGGGGAGGCAGAGGAATGCTCCAGGGTAGCGCCAGGCTCAGCTCCAGCCCCATCTGTAGAACTGTCCCCCTCACTGAGGACCAAGTCCATAAGGCCAGCGTTTAATGCCCTCTCTGCTCTGTCCTCTTCATCACTTTCAGCCTCATCATCCTCCTTCTGTCCTGTCTCAGAGCTCTGACTGTTCCCTTCCTTCCCATTGCTCTCTCCACCTCCACTCTTCTCAGCCACCTCTTCTCCTCCCTTTCTGTCTCCTTTCTCCGGTTTCATGTCGCCATGTTTGCACGTCTTCTTGCCTCTCTGGCGCCCTCCTGTGTCCCTGTCCTTGCTCTGCGGGCAGGCAAAGTATTTGTAGGTGGTACGGAAGCGCTCCTGGACGTACTCAAAGACCATCTGACTGTTTAGGCTGCGGGCAACATTCCTCTTTAGGGCAAACGGATCTGAGAAGAGGAAATGGAGGAAGATAACTTTAAAGGTGGTAGTGCAGTGGTGTGTAGAAACTCACTAAAAGAACTAACCAATCTGACCTTTCCACCACATAACTAACCTATTCACACCTAGTAAGTCAGCAGGCTCATTGAGGGAAACATGTAGAAAGGACAAGATAGGTAACAAAAACGAGGGGAGCTAGTCACATAAAAACATTTTCTATAGAACAAACCTGATTGTCTGCCATTTTGAATTGGGGGGGGGGGGGGGGGGATCACATAGAAATAAGAATGAATAGAACGGGCTTGGAAGCTCTAACCCTGGCCATTTAACTGGTAAACTCACAGGAACACTCACAATGGCTGTCTGGTATTGTGATGCAATCATTTCCATAGTAATGTAGAATGTTAATTCAAATTATGTTAACTGCTGTGGCTCATGCAATGCTGTCTTTTTTTGTAATGACATTTGAGTTGAATCAACAAATCACAGCACAAATTGATGGGTACACTCACAATGCTCGATGGTCCACCTATTATGCCATCATTGACTTGAATGGGGACGCCCGTTCTATTCATTCTTATTTCTATGGGGGATCATGTCAGCTCTATTCATTACATTTCTATCTGCAACATTCTGAATGTTTCATCTCTGAATACCCTGTTTAGTGGTCTCTCTCCCTCTCACTTACCCTCGATGGCCAGCCTGTCTGTTTAGTGGTCTCTCTCCCTCTCACTTACCCTCGATGGCCAGCCTGTCTGTTTAGTGGTCTCTCTCCCGCTTACCCTCGATGGCCAGCCTGTCTGTTTAGTGGTCTCTCTCCCGCTTACCCTCGATGGCCAGCCTGTCTGTTTAGTGGTCTCTCTCCCGCTTACCCTCGATGGCCAGCCTGTCTGTTTAGTGGTCTCTCTCCCGCTTACCCTCGATGGCCAGCCTGTCTGTTTAGTGGTCTCTCTCCCGCTTACCCTCGATGGCCAGCCTGTCTGTTTAGTGGTCTCTCTCCCGCTTACCCTCGATGGCCAGCCTGTCTGTTTAGTGGTCTCTCTCCCTCTCACTTACCCTTGATGGCCAGCCTGTCTGTTTAGTGGTCTCTCTCCCGCTTACCCTCGATGGCCAGCCTGTCTGTTTAGTGGTCTCTCTCCCGCTTACCCTCGATGGCCAGCCTGTCTGTTTAGTGGTCTCTCTCCCGCTTACCCTCGATGGCCAGCCTGTCTGTTTAGTGGTCTCTCTCCCGCTTACCCTCGATGGCCAGCCTGTCTGTTTAGTGGTCTCTCTCCCGCTTACCCTCGATGGCCAGCCTGTCTGTTTAGTGGTCTCTCTCCCGCTTACCCTCGATGGCCAGCCTGTCTGTTTAGTGGTCTCTCTCCCGCTTACCCTCGATGGCCAGCCTGTCTGTTTAGTGGTCTATCTCCCGCTTACCCTCGATGGCCAGCCTGTCTGTTTAGTGGTCTCTCTCCCGCTTACCCTCGATGGCCAGCCTGTCTGTTTAGTGGTCTCTCTCCCTCAGTCTTACCCTCGATGGCCAGCCTTCGTCGGGGCCAGTTCTTCATCTCTCTGGAGAGGAGCTCTTTGAAACGGATGCTGATGATGCGTTCCTCCAGGGCGAACTCCAGAGTGTAGAACCGAAGCAGCTCCAGCCACAGCTGGCCCAGGGACACCCCCTTACCCAGGTCCAGGGCCAGGCGCGTCTGAGAGGGAACAGAGCGAGAACATAGAGTCAGATGGGACATAGGCTTAGTTCATAAGGCTACATGGACATTAGCCACAAAGAAGAAGAACAGAGGCACTCTGAACCTTGAACGCCATAGGTGGCATGGATATAAAAGGAAATGGACTGGTGTAAGAAATATGGTGAGTAATCCTTCTAGCTAGCACACCAATACAATGCTTTGTAACACTTCTGAGAAAAGAGGATACACGCAGAAGTCCTTTAAAGAACTCTGCTTTTAGCACTGCAGACTAGAAAACATATTACAATGCACAGTCAAATCAGTTATAGAATGTAAAAAGTTTATTTGAACTAGAAAAAAAGCCTTGTCAAGAGTACTCACCATTCCCTCTGCATGCTGGTTCTTCACAGCAGGTTTCTTCTGCTCAGGCTTGGCCTTCCCTCCGTTCTCTCCCCTGCCGCCCCCCCCTCCCTCTGTACTGGGGGGTCGGTGCTCCCACCCAACAAATATATCCATCTCTATCCCCGTCAGATGGTACTCATCCACAGCCTTCACATCAAAGCCTTCGATCTGAAATCAACCACATACAAACAAAGTTATAAACAGCATTAACAACAATGGCAACAAGCACAGTAAAAACATCTTCAACAAAAGCGAGCAAAATATTATGACCTGAAAGAAAATGACTCAATACAAATGTGTGCAGCGATAGTGGGGACTAGTTTAATAAAATATCAACCTTTCTGTGGTGTCACCTACCCAGTAGCCGAAGTAGACAGGAAGGATGGGCTCCCTGCGTTGTTGGAGGAAGAAGATGACCATGAGGGAGAAGGAGTAGGATGGGATGCCCCCTTCTGCCTGGCAGTCAATATGGCACAACTAGAGGGACACACACACAATATAGTCTTTATTTAAATCTGGTAACATCATTAAGAACACATTCTCTCTGGTCAGGGGCTGTTGGCGTCATCAAAACCACTAAAGCTACAATATGCTAAGCAACCATATCATTTACAATGAAATCCACACACATTTTACTCTACTCACAAATGCTGAAAAAAACATTGGTATGGACAGGTTTAGGTTTAGTCAGCAAAGGCCAAAACATTTAGTTACATTTGCTATTACCACTAAAAGCACTAGCGTCAACTAGACAGATGCAATTTATATAATACGCTGTTATCCATAAAATACAATTTTACCCAGACCAGCCTTACCTTAGCCCAGAGGCGGAAGGCCAGGACCAGAGGCACCAGTCTGGGTTCCAGTCTAGCTAGGGCAGCCAGGTGGTTGGTGGTGAGACAGGCCACGTCATTACCTGCACTCACTTTGCACATCAACCCACTGTGGAGAGATACAACAACACTGATCAGGGTTGTATTCATTAGGCACCAAACGGAAGAAAACAGACTGAAGCAGAGAGGGGCTACCTGAACTTGTCTAATAAGAAACTATCATTTTTATTTTGTTGCCAAATGTTTTGCTATGCTGTGCCCAGGAATAAATAAATAAAACACCCAGGAACCACTAAGTCAGAGGATATTTAAAAAAGTAGTAGGTTGTAAAAGGATAACAGTAGAGCACATAGAAAGCAATAGAATTGACCTTCCACTGACCTGTTGACATCTCTGCAAAACACTACCGGAACTTTGGCGTGAAAGTCAGACTCCACCTCAGAAAATTGAGCTGGAAAAACAAAAGGTCAACATTCTTTGACTGCTCCCAAACCCAACAAAATTATCTCCTGGCTGCCTCCCCAATTCACATAGTTTAACTCCTGAAAAATATTGTTTAAATCAAATTTACCAAGGGGGTTGTATTAAAACTACTGTGGATTAGTTCGGATTTCTATTACGGTAATTGTATTTTCTCATACCAACATTCTTCATTGAAGGAGGTTAATATGGGCTCTCCATTTTAACACAGAACTCAGTACAGCTCGGCCCTGGCCTGGAATCAAGAGCTCACTGACTGTCTAGTGCCACAACACAATCCTTCTTATGCTGAATTTACAGTCTCTCTCTACACTGTGTGTGTGTGTGTGTGTGTAGGGCTGTTTAACACTCACCGCTGTTCTTCAGGATTTCCAGTACTTGTATCAGCACATCTGGTTGGGTCATCTGGAGACAAAAACAACATGACATTTACTAGTAAGAGTCAAGGCATCAACATTTATCATATTAAATTCAATCAAATGTCTTCATAAAGCCGTTTATACATCAGCAGCAGTCAAAGTGCTTTTACAGTGACCCCAGCCTAGACCCCAAAGAGCTAGCAGAAGTGGAGGCACATCATATTCAGTCCACTGTTGATTTGAGTCCTGTTTTAGTGTCCTGTTTAGGAGTCCAATCATTCACAGGTTCTTGGATCCCTCCAACTGATAAACATACCCAATCAGTTAAATCCTATCCAAGACAATCAAGGTGAAAGCGATCAGAGATCATCTGATACAGACTGACAATAAGGTGATGATGCAAACCAAGGCCTCCTTCCTGTTTGCCTACGTTGATTACCACTGATCTAACAATAATTTGATTTGCACCCACTTTGCATTTACACTCAGTGTCCAGTATATTAGGTACACCCATCTAGTACCGGGTCGGACCGCCCTTTGCTTCCAGAACAGCCTGAATTCTTTGGGCCATTGAAACATTGCTCAATTGGTATCAAGGGACCTAACGTGTGTCAGGAAAACATTCCCCACACCGTTACAGCACCGCCACCAGCCTGTACCATTGACACCAGACAGGATGGGGCCATGGACTCATGCTGCTTACACCAAATCCTGACTGCCATCAGCATGACGCAACAGGAACCGGGATTAGTCGGACCAGGCAATGTTTCTCCACTCAATTGTCCAGTGCTGGTGATGGCATGCCCTCTGGAGCTGCTTCTTCTTGTTTTTAGCCGATAGGAGTGGAACCCGGTGTGTTTGTCTGCTGCAATAGCCCATCCCTGACAAGGACCGACGAGTTGTGCGTTCCGAGATGCCGTTCTGCACACCACTGTTGTACTGCGCCGTTATTTGCCTGTTTGTGGCCCGCCTGTTACTTTGCACGATTCTCCTTTGACATCTCATCAACAAGCTTTTTTCACCCACAGGACTGCCGCTGACTGGATGTTGTTTGTTTGTCGCACCATTATCAGTAAACCCTAGACACTGCTGTGCGTGAAAAGCCCAGGAGGGCGGACATTTCTGAGATACTGGAACCAGCGCACCTGACACTGACGACCATCTCACATTCAAAGGTCGCTTAGGTCACTTGTTTTGCCCACTAACGTTCAATCGAACAGTAACTTGATGCCAGTCTGCCTGCTTTATATAGCAAGCCACGGCCCTGTGACTCACTGTCTGTAGGAGCTAACCATTTACGTGAACGGGGTGGTGTACCTAAAACTGGACACTGTGTGTATATAACTTGCATTAGTGGGTTGTTAGGAAACAGACAAGACTTACAGTGGAGGGGTAGGTGACGTCAATATTGATGTCACTTGTCTTGAAGGCAAATCGGGTGAGACAGGAGCCGTAGAGGCGGAGGGAGCAAACTGGAAAAGAAACACCAACAAAAGCCATTCATTAAACAGGGTTCTATTCATTCCATTCATTAAAACAGGATTCTATTCATTAAAACAGGATTCTATTCATTCCATTCATTAAACAGGATTCTATTCATTCCATTCATTAAACAGGATTCTATTCATTCCATTCATTAAACAGGATTCTATTCATTCCATTCATTAAACAGGATTCTATTCATTCCATTCATTAAACAGGGTTCTATTCATTCCATTCATTAAACAGGGTTCTATTCATACCATTTCACTACTATTGCATTTTATTTGTTTATTGCCAACCTGGGAACCTTTGCCACTCAGCCTATACTTACAATAAGATACTGATTTCAACCATCCAGACATGGCAGATCAACAGTCTAGATGACAGGAAGGAGACAAGAGGATAGGAATACTTGGTTACCTGAGAGGTGCTGCTGGATGATGATCTCCATCCTGGTGACCACTTCCTGTCGCAGCAGGAAGTCCTGGTCAGAGATGCCGTGTTGTTGGGCGACCTGAAGGACGGCTGCATCCACGGCTCTGAGCTGGGCTGGGGAGGGGGCAGGCAGTGCACGCAGCTCATTCTCCTCCTGCTTCTCCTGAACACAGCACAGGGGAGAGGGACAAAGGCAGGGTGAATCCAGATCCCCTCTAACGGCCCTGTCTAATCCACTGGAGAGAATGTGGACAGAATTTGGAGTTTGGGGGAGATACAAAATGGCCGACGTAGGCTTAGGAAGCAGCAAAATAGGAAGAATGTATACAGATACACACACCAATAAGGTCCACCTTAATTAACCATTTCCACTTCTAAAATAACAAAGATGGATTCCCTTTCAAGTTACAGTACACATCAGTTGTTGTTGGAGAACATGACAATTATGACAAAATAAATAAAAGTTGCTAACTTTTTCTCTCACCATGATGTTCTTCTTGTGTCTCTTTTCCTTGATGTGTTTGTGTGCCCCCTGTACGTTCTCTATGTGTATTGAACACAGCTTGCATAGGTACTGGAAGTTAGGGTACTCTGGAGACGGCTGTAGAGACAGAGAGAAATGAGTGAAACCAATTACATGTGAGAGACCAGTCGCTGATCGTGCCCTGCCCCTCACTGTACACATGCAAATGACAGACATTTTACAACTTGTTTGCACACCCCCTCCACCCCACAGCAATGTGTTGAACTGTTGACTATTAACATTGTTATTATTTTGCCTGGTGGAGGGTTCTCAGCAACAAACAACAAGTTGATAAAACATCTGGCCTAAGAAGTTGCCTTAAAATGTGAAATTGTGTCCATAAATTCCAGTCAACTGATACAGACAATGCAGTGCCTTCAGGAAGCATTCACACCTTGACTTTTTCCACATTTTGTTGCGTTAAAATAGACTAAATGTAGATCTTGTGCCACTGATCTACACACAATACCCCACAATGTCAAAGTGGATTTTCTTTTAAGAACTGTTTACAAATTAATACAACAATTCAAAGCTGAAATGTCTTGACTGAATAAGTATTCAACCGCTTTGTTATGGCAAGCATAAATACATTCAGGAGCAACATTTTGTTTAACAAGTCACATGAGTTGCATGGACTGTGTGCAATAGTGGTTAACGTGATTTTCAAATGTACCCCACACGTACAATTATCTGAAAAGTCCCTCAGTCAAGTAGTGAATTTCAAGCACAGATTTAACCACAAAAACCCAGGAGGTTTTCCAATGCCTCGCAAAGAAGGGCACCTATTGGTAGAAGGATACATATAAAAAAAATCAGACACAGAATATCCCTTTGACCATGTTGAAGTTATTAATTACGCTTTGGATGGCGTATGAATAAACCCAGTCACTACAAAGATACAGGCGTCCTTCCTAACTCAGTTGCCGGAGAGGAAGGAAACCGTTCAGGGACTTTACCATGAGGACAATGGTGATTTTAGGAGAAAGCTGAGGATGGGTCAACAACATTGTAGTTACTCCACAATACTGACAGAGAGAAAATAAGGAAGTCTGCATGGCACTAAAGTAATACTGCACAAAAAAATGCCAAAATAAATGAACTTTTTGTCCTGAATACAAAGCATTATGTTCGGGGCAAATCCAACACATCACTGAGTACCACTCTTCATATTTTCAAGCATTGTGGTGGCTACATCATGTTATGGATAAGCTTGTCATCTGCAAGGACTACAGAGTTTTTTTTAGAATACAAATAAATGGAATAGAGTTAAGCACAGGCAAAATCCTAGAGGAAAACCTTGTTCAGTCTGCTTTCCAACAGGAACTAGGAGACAAATTCACCTTTCAGCAGGACAATAACCGAAAACTCAAGGCCAAATATACTGGAGTTGCTTAGCTTACAAAGACGACATTGAATGTTCATGAGTGGCCTAGTTACAGTTTTGAATGAAATCTGCTTGAAAATCTATTGCAAGACTTAAATGGCTGTCTAGCAATGATCAACAACCAACTTGACAGAGATTGAAGAGTTTAAACAACCCAGGTCTGTGAAGCTCTTAGAGACTTACCCAAAAAAACTCACAGCTTTAAATCGCTGCCAAAGGTGATTGTAACATGTATTGACTCAGGGGGTTGAATACTTATCTAATGAAGATATATTAGCGTTTTATTTATCTTTAAAAAAATATTTGAATATTTCTTCCACTTTGACAGAGTATTTTGTGTATATCGTTGACAAAAAAAAAGGCAATTCAATCCATTTCAATCCCAATTTGTAACAAAATGTGGAAAAAGTTAAGGGGTGTGAATACTTTCTGAAGGCACTGTACATACAGACAACTGATAAACAAACGTAAGTTATTTTATCGCCTCACCTTGACCAGTCTGTGTATGTAGTCTCTGTAGAGGCGATCCTCAGCCTGTCTGAGACCCAGCTTCTGCTCAGAGGTCATGTTCCTCCCCTGACCCTCATCATTGACCCCTGACCCCACCACGTTGACCTCCACAAAAGGCTGCCCTGTCTCCACCACAGCACCGGCCTTCTCGCCTGCAAACACACAGACAGACCAACTCTTCACTTAGATATAGTCAGCATGTAGGAAACAAATGTTTTGACCAAGAAGAAGAGTTTATATGACAAAAAAACAGCAAGAGGTCTCTAACATAGACATATTGTAGCAGCCATCCTTCAATGGCCCCATCTTGGGGATCTTGGTCTGTGCAGTAAGGACTTCCTCAGATGAGGTGGCCACCGTACCTGCTCCTGTGTCTCTCCCTCTACCAGCTGGGCTCCTGCCTGTAGCCAGCATGGGCCTAGCGTCACCCCCCTGCCCAGCCTGCTGCTGGCCTCCCAGTCCCACCTTCCCCCTCTCCCCAGAGCTGGTCCTCCCAGTCAGCCTGCGAGGCTTCCCCATCCCTGGGTCCTGAGGGCTGGCTGTGGAGGCTCTTTCTGTCCCACGGTTACTGCCTTGGTCCTTATGGTCCTCCCTGGCTGTGGTGATGTTCTCCTTGCTCCGGCAGGCAGTGGCAGGCTTGGGGCTAGGCCCCTCTCTTGGTGTCACTGGAGCCTCTTTCAGGGGCTTGGAGCTGGTGGAGGATGGCGCTGTGGCTCCCCTGGCCTCATTGCGAGAGGGCTTAACTAATTTTAGGGGGCTTTTTGATTCCTCCATGCCTCAATCCAGTCTTATCCCTCACCCGGGCTGAAAACTAACTACTCTGTATTGAGGATGGGGAGGCAGCTAGTCCAATGAAAACCTGAAGAGATGAAAGTCATTAATTTTTTGCATTACCTACATTGATCTTAAAAGAACAATAGCCTAAACTATACATATATACTTAAAACTATCAAATCATAGCATATTGAACTAATTCAGCACCTGCTATGAAGAACTGAGCAAGTAGCCAATGGCAAAACATTTACCTTGCAATAAAGTTCCAAAGCAAAGGCCTGATCAAAACAAGTACATCCTAGTTAGTTATGTGGGTTACAGTAGTTGGACCAGTGCAGAACAGGGTTGTAATATAACTGATATTTATTGCAAATATAAATTATTTCGATGTAACGAAGAGAGTGGCTAGTTGACTAGCTGAGAAAAACCAAGGCTGAAGGACTTGTTTGTTATGAAACGAAACCAACCCACAACATCCTGAAAGGGCCTTCTCGCGTAGCGAGACACCCTGCAGATGCAAACAAACAGGGCAAGTGACATTTAAAATAACAGCTAGAGACAAATAAATAACGTGCAGACTTGCTAGCTAGCTGATAAATGTTTGTATTTGTTAACGGTAGCTAGCTAGCCATCTCATAAACACCTGATAAATGGCTAGTTAGCTAGCAAACTAGCCATCTATCCGCTAGCGGCTGGAAACCTTTTTACAGACAATTGTTTGACTAGCCACCCGACCCTATAAAACTGACGCACGACAAAAGCGCCAGAACATTGAAAAATGTCTTACTGTTTTATGCAGATTTTAGCTCTAAAATACGTCTAACCTCTTCATCTTCATGCTCAGTATTTCGTTTTTCTCATTCACGGATCAAAACCACTGAGGTATGATCAAAACAGCACCATAGACGCCATGTTAATTCCTGCATAGGGCATTGTGGGTACCTTTATTGAAGGTAGTTGTATCAAAGATTATGGATATACTGACAAGAAACCTGTCTCTCCGCCCTAACAATGGGAGTCATTGTCCACAAAGCGGCACGGCGGGCTGTCTTGCTCCCCCTATCCTTTCTTTGGATTGGTGGATACATCTCATTATTTTAATACCTTTTTGAATATTCGTTGAGGGTTTTCGTCAACCGCCTGTATTCCATGGAGAGAGATGCTATGCTACCAGCCTCATCCCATTAATATCTATAGCCATCTCGAGACAACTCCGAAATAAAGTGTTTTTTCTCAAAGTTGCCGGGATGTCACGTGTCCTACTTGTATCAGTACACTCATAACAACCTAAGCATTACGAAACTTCTATTCGATCAAATAAACCTCACGTAGCAAATAAGTCATTCGTTTTTTTGTTGACCATTCTCGACATTCATTAACCTCCATACAAAAACATCTTGTTGGTGGGCGAAAAAACGGGGGGGGGAAATGCCATCTGCTGGAGGGAGACAGATTTCCCGTGGAATTGGGCCTCTGCCTCTTCCTATCTGGTTGTGTTCATTAAAGCATTATGGGGTGGAAGCTATTGAAGTTTTAATGAAGTATTTTTAATGTAAAGTCAGTTTAAATTGATAGAAAAGTGCCCAAAAATACAAAAGTATTTGGAGGGATGGGGTCTCTGAACCATTAACAGTGGGTTGTATTCATGAAAGTCTTATTGATAGAAAATAGCCAAAGCCAAAAAATACAAAAGTAGGGTGAATTCAGAAAAAGAGAGACACTTTTTGCTTTTCCGTCTTCTGTAACCTCTTTCGACATCTATCCAACATATTATATTAGCCCAACACCTGATACATTTCTGAAATGCTCAAGATGTTTCCTAATCACACAAAAATAACAAATGTTGATATCATATTCGCAGGATGCATGACACACACATTTGTGTACACAGCCAAAACCCTATTTTCAGTTCACATTTGGTAAACTGGGACAGCAGGCTAGATAAATTGGGACATCATTATCATAGTCCCAATTATACCGCAATGACAATTAAATTCACACTTTTTTGTTATATTATCATCTTGAGGATTTTAGAAATGTATCATGTGTTGGCTAATATGTTGGATAGATGTCGAAAGAGGTTACAGAAGACAGAAATGTATCATGTGTTGGCTAATATGTTGGATAGATGTCGAAAGAGGTTACAGAAGACAGAAATGTAATACATGTAAATTAAACAGGATTACAGTACTACAAGAACCAGAGCCATGCCTAACCTAAGTACAGAGGGTCCCTATGAACTGGATCTCTTTCCTTAGTGGGCAGAACAAGCAAGGAGGTGGCAAAAGGCCACGTCTACAAAATGTTGTGCACTCTGTTCGTAACAGATTTTAGTTTTGGGAACAGAAAACTGTATTGAGATTAGGCTTTTCTTCGATGAGAAAATCAGCATAATGGCGGCCCAGTTCCATCTCGCTCCATACGCTCCCACTGCCGACCACATGGCTTCCACTCTTCACCATATTTGGTGGGATTCACCCTAATTGCCATTGAATGGAGGGATGAGGTCCTTTTAGGTTTTTTTAACCCTTATTGTTCCAGTTAAGTTGACTGAGGCCACATTCTCATTTACAGCAACAACCTGGGGAATAGTTACAAGGGAGAGGAATGAACCATTTGGAAGCTGGGGATGATTAGTTGGCCATGATGGTATGAGGTCCAGATTGGAAATGTAGCTAGGACACCGGGGTTAACGACCCTACTCTTACAATAAGTGTCATGGGCTCTTTAGTGACCACAGAGAGTCACTGTTTAACTTCCCATCCAAAAGACAGCACCCTACACAGGGCAATGTCCCCAATCACTGCCCTGGGGCATTGAGATCTCCTTAGACCAGAGGAAAGAGTGCCTCCTACTGGCCCTCCAACACCACTTTCAGCAGAATATGGTCTCCCATTCAGGACCAACCCTACTTAGCTACAGGCACCAGACCCTAATAGGGATTTTTTTCTCTCTTAATCATATCACATTCCATTTTTACCAGTTGAACGTAGACACAAACAAAACACTTTTCTGCATCAACATTTTTCTGAAAATATGTAATGAAATATGTAAATTAGGCGATATCTCATTAAATATGCACACATTTACATACCACGCAAATTCATTTTTCTGGACACTGGACAAAGTCAGCCTAAAAATATATACATTTTATTTTGTTAAGACACACCAGGACCAGACTTGTCCAGATCAGATTGTGGATAAATACTTGTTCCATCTTTCTATCTGTAAAATACTAAAGACATGTACTTAAAATGCATTTTTGGCACATTTTTCCAAATAAAATGTTATTTAGAATCAGAAAATGACAACATATCAACAATTCCCTCTGGGCAAGTCTGGAAAATATATCTAAGGATATAATTAAAGACAAGTACACTGAATTAAGACTACCAAACGCCAAAAGCCTATTTATCTCTTCAAAGTAAGTTATGTAGTCCAGTTTGTAACATTCTCCATGAAATGGACTTTGAAATGATGTGTAATTCAATGTAGTGAGCTTTGAAATGATTGATGTATGTCCATTTTAAAGTGGTTAAAATTCATACAAATGTTGATGATGGCAGTATGATAAACTAAAGAAAAAATACATTTTCATAAAGTTTTTGAATTTTGTTATGGGCCAAAATACCAACAAATCTCAAAATTGATATGTAGATGCAAAACTGTAATTTCAGTCTGTGGTTTCCGGCTTTAAGGTAGTATGTTTTATGCAAAGTCAATTTAAATTGATTAGGTCCCTGAACCAATAACAGTTGGGTGTATTATGAAAGTATTATGGGGTGGAAATGATTGGAAGTTTTAAGGAAGTATTTTTTTTATGTCAAGTCAATTTCAATTAATTGAAAATCGCCAAAGTAAAAAAATACAAAGGTAATTGCCATTGATTGGAGGGAAGAGGTCCCTGAACCAATAACAGTTGGTTATATTCGCTCAAGTCATATGGCAGGGGTAGGCAACCCTGTTCCTGGAGTGCCGCAGGTACTGCAGGATTTTGTTCCAACTAGGCTAATTGATCAGTTCAGTGATTTCCTAAATTCAACACACCTGGTCTTCCAGGTCCGTTAAATCAAAAACATGAAGTGCCTGTGGCACTCCAGGACCAAGGTTGCCAACACCTGTTATATGGGGTGAAAGCAATTCATATTTTTTGGAAGTAGTTTTATGTAAAGTGAATTAAAATAAATAGATCAAGTCAAAACAAGTCAAACTAATTGCAGTGGGTTAGAGGGAAGGTCTCTGAACAATCACAAATTGGTGTGAGATCTCTATGGCATATGGTTAAGAAGCTATTTACATTTTTCACTAATTCATTAACATGCAATAGTAGGCGTTGCATTTTTAAGACGTCCCTTAACCCTCGGAGCAAGGGTTTAGCTACATTTCGCCTCCAAAAAGTGAATATGACACCGAATTGGAAAAACACAGGCTGGAATAACAAGGGGTGTAACCAATGATTTATATAGACACTAGATGACCGATAGGGGGCGCTGTGTTGAAGCCACCGTGCCTCCACCTTGGCACTCCCCCACCAGTGTAAAACATATTTTGGAAGCTATAGAAATGCATTTATTAATGTGTACATTCGTTTTTGCCACATGTATTATATTACAGACACCTTAATGCATACTTTTAAATTATATTATGTGAGCTAAACATACAAATTAAAAATTAAAAAATATGTAAAAACATTTTCCTTAAAGTATACTTTTTTGAGATTACTAATGTTACTGTCCCCACTACAACAACAACAACAAATACTTAAATACATGTAATTGTCCTTGAAACATTTAATTGAAATACTGTAGAATTCCATTTATTCCTATGCCAATATCGCCGACTGGTGGCGTCAAAGTATGGCCAATACATAACATCAGCAATCCAGGGTTTATATACATCATTGGGTGTAACTTGTTCACTATCGTCAGCTGATTCAGAATATGATTATCAGAATGTGTCATTTCTATTATTTTGGCACATTCCGTTGAAGAGGTATTGACGAGCAAATTCCGAATTGATCTGAAAATGCTGTCGGAGACGCCGTATGGAGGGGTGTGAGGCAATTGCTGAGCCTCTGGAGGCACGCAGAGGCCAAATGGAGCTCTGTACCGCATCACTGAACTCCTCCCAAATTTGGTTGACGGTAGGTGGGGGCGGGAGGTCCTGTATAAACACAAATTTCATTGACAACTTCCTTCACAACAGCTCTGCGCTGCTCCGTAAAGCCCAAGAAGTATGAATGCAGAGGCCTTATCTCTGTAAATGCTGCACGGCCAATGCAGACGTCGGATTGACCATGAAGCGCCTTTAAGTGCAGCCTTCATATATAGGCATACAGTCATTGAGTGCAGCACTGGTCTGTTGTCCATTTAAGTTTTACTGTTACTTAAAATGACAATCAGAGAGAATTGTATCTTTGTGAACAAATTAATACAAATATAGCTCTGTGTTAATTTTGCACATAAAATGTTTTGTTGTGTACTTTAATAATGCCCACAATGGAAATAAACATAATGCATGATTTATCTCCGATCATCAAAAAAAATCTAATCAAAAACCAAGACTATCGAAGGCCTATCAACAGAGATGTGTACTAGCTACAATGTATCATGCAGGGGGATGTAGGCCTATCCAATGATGTTAGAGGAAATATGTAGGCTACAGTAAGTGAAGTGTGATATCTTCTCTAGACAAGCTGTGCTGTTGAATTGTGTGCACTTTTTATAGTGTCATCATTATAACATGTATTGGTGGAAATTTAACTCCACTGGCTGGCTATAAATAAAGGTCCTTCTCAAAACACTGAAACTGTAGACCGTTTGTCAATCAGACTCAGGAATTACCATTGGTTGAAATTGGAATCCTCGGATGTTGTGACTGGGAAAATCAAGAAGGAGGCGGGAAAAAAATGTTCCGCTCACGCATCATGTCTTCTACTCGGAGGCGGTGAGAAGAGTGGTAGAAAGGAGTGAAGTTGAATAAATATTGGTAGTAGGAGTAGAAACACCAGATAATATTCCTTGTCAACAGAGGGATCCTGACATGTTGTATGTTCGGAAGGTGGACTTTGTAGCGTTTATTGCATTGTTTAGCAAACGCACAGCGCAAACAGAAAGGAAATCGGAGAAAATAGGCATCATTGGGAGTGCGGCTGAGCGGTTTTTGGGACTTAGATATTTTACAGCAGAGGCATTACAAGGAATCCTGTCGATGAATGCTCCGTGCTCACAGGCACCTGAGCCTGTTTAGGGATGTGATTAGAACTGTGACTGAAGGAGTGGGATGATTTTTTAAAAATGTATTTATTGTATATATATATTCAATGGAATATATCTTTTTTTCAATACCCGGTACAGTAGGTGGCGGCAATACACCAAAAGGTGTAGTCTGCCATAAAACCTTGAAGAAGAAGAAGAAGAAGAAGAAGAAGAAGAAGAAGAAGAAGAAGAAGAAGAAGAAGAAGAAGAAGAAGAAGAAGAAGAAGAAGTTCAGCGCACAGAAGCTTCTACAGTAGACAGCCTACGCTGTGAATCGATAAATAAGAAGACATGCTTTCCGTCCTCACATTGCTATTTATCTTATTCAGTCTAAATGAGGCCAAACAGAAAGATTTGTACACTTTCAAAGTTGTTAATAGCAGAGGGAGATTAGTCTCTTTGGAAAAATACAGGGGTTCGGTAAGTTTGAAACTCGAGCCTATGCAAATCTTCCATTTGTGTACCGGTGAATGCATGCTGCGGAATTTCCTTTCATAAGGCATGCATGTTATTTGCATGTTTTATAACAATAGCATCTTACTCATATGAATAAAATGCTAACTTTAAGACCAAATTTATGATGAGCTTTGCATTCTTTGTGTCTATCATCTGTATACGTGGCAACTGCTGCTGGACTCCAACGTTGCTTAGAATACTAAATTGTTTTATAGGCCACTAGATAGTTTGACCCAACTGTTATGTCTGGTTGTGTATTACTGGCTATAATGTAACCTGCATAAGGAGATTATTTCCTTTGCCTTACAAAAGAGAAATTCCCTTCTGTAGTCAGTGATAATTTAAGATGTTACCACATCTGGGCCACCTTGATGTTTTAATTTGAATACATATTTAAAACTTGTATTTATTAATTGTCAACTTTTTTCATTGGGTGTAACCATATAACAGTACACATTCTATAGACCATCTGCAGGCTGCAAAATCTGAACAGATTTTAAAGTGATACAGGAGAAAGAGGCATTCCCACATCTGTCCTATTTCTCTCCTTACTATGTGTAGTTCCGTCGTATTGACACTAGAGGTCAGTATTAGACAGCAACACAGTTTTATAGAAGGGATATAGAAAATCGTAAAATCTCAATTAAAAATAAATAAGGAAACAGTTCCGTGTAGCTCAGTTGGTAGAGCATGGCGCTTGCGATGCCAGAGTTGTGGGTTCGAGTCCCACGGGGGACCAGGACGAAAGTGAATGCACTCACTACTGTAAATAGCTCTGGATTAGAGCGTCTGCGAAATGACTAAAATATATATATATATTTTTTTAAACAAAGATTTTTTCACAAAAGTAGTGCACTGGGCCTTTACTAGTCCTGTATTAGCGGACCAATATAGCCATCTGTAGTGCAGGCAAAAACATTTTTCCATACCAAATCATATGTAATGTAATCTACCTAATGTTTGATCAAAAAGTCACTGCATCTGTTCAATACTAAAACCACGCCATTGGCCCAGAATTGATAAAATATTTTAATGGATATTTAAAAAAAAATACTTGACCAAAAATTATTGCAACAATGTATACTGAAAGACAGGGCTGGAATGGAGGCTGGGCAGAAGCATACACTGGGAATTAAATAGATTTATCTGTGAAATCTTTGAACATGAAAAGATCAACTATAATAAAGGATGTTGTTTGTTGACATGAGAGCCTGTGTTCTCTGTAAACAGGGTAGTGATAGTCAGAGGGTCAGGTATTGACCATTTTCCAGGGCTTCTTTCACTATCACCTCCATTACTATCTGGCCTGAACCTCTACTATTCAGACTGCTCAGAGACTCCTCATCACTTACATTCACCTCCAAATCTTTGGTCTTGTTTTCCTTGAAACCATGCCCACTCAGTTCATAGCCTTGTAGCTCTGTGGTAGTCCCTACATACAGAGCAAGAAGGATAAAAGGGTAAAACTATTTTATGGAATAACCCCTGTGCCCTTACCAAATGTTTCATCTGGTCCCATAGCCAACATAGAAATAGCCAGTGCTTGACTTGGGCAGGAGCTCACTGGAGCTGAGTACTGGCACCTCAAATGTTCTACTGCTTGAGCTCCTGTTCCTCTTATAGAATATTAGCTCAAAAGTATTGTGGAGCTCCCGCACCTAAATATAAGCAGTACCAGAACCCAAAATGAGTACCGGTACCTATTTCAGTCAAGCACTGGAAATAGCACTCAGGCAGGGGAATTTAATGAAAGGCTACTGGTTATTTTCATGTTGTTGATAACGGTTTTCATCAGTACAACATTTATATTTTTAGTTGTATTGTTGCCTGCAGGTGTCCCTGGTGGTGAATGTGGCCAGTGACTGTGGCTTCACCCAGGATCACTACACGGACCTGCAGCAGCTGCAGAGGGACTTTGGGCCGTCCCACTTCAACGTCCTGGCCTTCCCCTGCAACCAGTTTGGCCAGCAGGAGCCTGGCAGCGACAAGGACATTGACGCCTTTGTCCGGCGTGTCTACGGAGTCTCCTTCCCCCTCTTCAGCAAGATTGCTGTGGTGGGCACCGGGGCCAACAATGCCTACAAGTACCTTGTGGGTGAGTGAACAGATGAGGGATGGATGGGGGCAGAGGCATATACACATATACATATAGACATATACTGTAGACATGTACATGTTTTGGAGGCAGGTAGCCTAGCGGTTAGGAGCATAGGGCCAGTAACCGAAGCCGACTAGGTGACAAATATGCCGATGTGCCCTTGAGCAAGGCACTTAACCCTAATTGCTCCAGAGTCGCTATCACTAATTGCTGATCCCTGGCTCTGACCCCACTCTCAGGGGGACGTGGGATATTCATGTGTGAAATAGGACAAATGTAAGTGGCCACCTAATTATCTTAACAAGGTGTCTGTGTCAAGTTGACTGGATGTCCTTTGGGTGGTGGGCCATTCTTGATACACACGGGAAACTGTTGAGCGTGAAAAACCCAGCAGCATTGCAGTTCTTGACACAAACTGGTGCGCCTGGCACCTACTACCAGACCCCGTTCAAAGGCACTTAAATCTTTTGTCTTGCCCATTCACCCTCTGAATGGCACACATACACAATCCATGTCTCAATGGTCTCAAGGCTTTAAAATGCTTCTTTAACCTGTCTCCTCCCCTTCATCTACACTGATTGAAGTGGATTTAACAAGTGACATCAATAAGGGATCATAGCTTTCACCTGGATTCACCTGGTCAGTGTATGTCATGGAAAGAGCAGGTGTTCTTAAAGTTTTGTACACTCAGTGTATACGGCTATGGGTGGAGGATGCATAATCCAACTTTTTCTTGGATAGCTTGAACCGTGAACAACAAGTCTATAACCCCTGACTGACATGGGCAGACAGTGACCGTCTTTGTGGTCTCATTAGCAAGCCTAGGCCAGGTCAGAGTGTGTGTGTGGTTTATTATGGGTTTGACTGGCATGTTGGGTCCCCCAGCGTGAGATAAAATGGCAGGCTACTGGCAGGCTGCACGTTTTTCACAAACTGACCCTCAGATTGTAGGTGATTCAAACATCAGGAAATATCAAAGAGAAGGAGAAAAATAGGTAAATTACATTTTTACTGCGCTCTGTTAAATCCTGATGGATTGAAAGGCTGGAGGAGAAAGGAAGGAATGATGATCGCAATCTTCTACTCACCTTTAAGGGTACTATGTCTAGATATTTTATTCAATGCATTTTTTAAATAGCAACAATGAGGTGTTGAAACATGGCTTGGTAATGTGGCCTTCTATTTGTAGTCATGCTATATTAACACGCAGTTAATATTTATGTTTTATGGAATTGGCACAACATTTTGTTTTCTCTTTTGATTCTTTACAGAGAAGTCAGGAAAAGAGCCTGACTGGAACTTCTGGAAGTACCTCATCGATACAGATGGGAATGTCGTGGATGCCTGGGGGCCCAGTGTCTCTGTCAAAGAACTCCGACCTAAAATAGCTGAAATGGTACGAAATATCATCCTCAAGAAGAAAGAGGAACTTTAACTCAACACCTCAAGACCCATCTGACAATCTATTCAGGAGTATCCTATGTGATTGAATTCCCCTGTCTGCTACAAAAACACCCAGAGCGTTAAAAAAATACACTCCAAGCACCACCACACACTTCAAGCACCACCACACACTCCATAGTGTACATTTTGTATTGTACAGATGTAGGATCTTAATTTGAGCCAGTTTGCTACAGCAGGAAAATAATCCTGCAGCAACAGGAAATGTGAATTATTATGTGGATTATCATTAATGGGCATTTTTGTAGGGGTTGATACATTTTTCATAAGGGAAAATCAAGTCTGAAATTTCAAATGTGAAATTACAAACTTCAGAAGCATTTTTAAACCTCAAATACACTACAAGTTTAAAATGTCCTCCTGCAACAGGGGTGATCAAATTAAGATCCTATATCTGTGCCCATATTAACTTTTATGAAACCACCTATATGACTGCATTCAGCATACTGATATCCTCTTTTGGAAGCACTTGATCTGACTGAGAAAAACCCTCTCATCAGTAGTCAGAGCGTATTGTTGTGCTGTTGAGAGGTTATTTGTATTGGATTGGATTGCCCTTTCATGGTACATGTGTGCACATTAATAAATGCACTTTTACAAAGTGGCATGAATGCTTTCATCAACAACTAGAAAATGTCCATAAAGATCTACACGGAAAATGTGTAGGAGTTGAATTTAGGTCAAACATGACTTTTGCATGAAAGTTTTTCTCAAATAAGATTTGTTTGTTTTTGACTGTCTGTGCCTGTAAGGAATATACTCACATTCCTTTTTAGATAACAGCCTTTCACACTGATGTTTTCAAAGTTAACACTGTGCTTTGTACCTTTGTGTTAGTTATTTACCTTGTTGTCATATCACACCTTTCTTACCACGGCTTTGCTTTCATCTAATTTGAAACCATATCTTTGGAGAATGAAAATACATTTTTAATTGTTTTAGCAGCCTTCCCCTATTACCTGTACTGAACGTGTGTTATATGATACAGGGTGTCATACCTCTGTTCAGCAAAGTGTTTTTATCCTTGGAAGATTTCGGTTGATTACCTTGGTACAAAATAGGGCTATTGATTTCGGAGAAGACCAGTTTGGCTGACACTGCATTGTAATAATAATAATAATATGCCATTTAGCAGACGCTTTTATCCAAAGCGACTTACAGTCATGCGTGCATACATTTTTGTGTATGGGTGGTCCCGGGGATCGAACCCACTACCTTGGCGTTACAAGCGCCGTGCTCTACCAGCTGAGCTACAGAGGACCACATTGTCAGCAGTATCTAATTCAAATGTAATAACAACCTGGAATGTTTTACCAACAAACCATGCATTCAGAGCTCTGTTCCATTGAACAGCACGAAAGTGGGAATGAGTCATAGGCCTCGGATCTCCACCACTGACATAATTACCGTCCCTTTCATGTCCCTATCAGGAACAGATTTACCACAAGGGCCTGTCAATTAGTCCATTCAGATGAATGAGGGCCGGGGACGTATACTGTAGGACCTTTGAGACTGTCATACTGTAGGACCTTTGAGACTGTCATACTGTAGGACCTTTGAGACTGTCATACTGTAGGACCTTTGAGACTGTCATACTGTAGGACCTTTGAGACTGTCATACTGTAGGACCTTTGAGACTGTCATACTGTAGGACCTTTGAGACTGTCATACTGTAGGACCTTTGAGACTGTCATACTGTAGGACCTTTGAGACTGTCATACTGTAGGACCTTTGAGACTGTCATACTGTAGGACCTTTGAGACTGTCATGACACACCCCTAAGGGTATACTACAAAGCAGAATAAATTAGTTAGTCAGCTAACTTTGATAAGCAACCAGAAATAACTAGATTTTATGGTTCAATAAAAAAGTTAAACTTAGATGTCTTTTCGTTTGTTGAATCAATTAGACCATGCCCATTTCAAGTTTATCTTTCAAAATAATTAAAAGTTAAGACAAGTTAGCTGCCTAACTCCTTGAACCTACTTTGTAGTGTTCCCCTATGACCTTGCTCTGAGTTTAAATACTTAATTAAACACATTTAAACACCAAAAGCTACATTTTTATATTGACTAATAACTTTTTTGACTTGTCATCATCAGACCCCATGTGCAGTAGGCTAGAATATCAGAAAGAACCCTGTTGTGTGTCGACTGCATGTTTTTAACACAGAGAGAAAAGGCAGCAGGGTGCTCGCTTTTAGTTTTCTGTTTATGTGTAGACTTCAGAGCAGAAATATAAAAGTATCATTAATATGCATGACATTATACAACACAGATCTTCATATGCATGTCATTATACAACACCGATTTGAGAGCAAACAATGTTTCAATCCACCTCTAGTTTCTGTCTTTGTGAGGCATTTCGATTACATTTTTCAATTCTCATCGATACCCACTGTGCAAGTTAAGAAGCACCTAGGCTGTGAAAGTCAATATAACCCAAATTCCAAGGCACATTTTTTTTTTTACATGTCTGAGGTTTTGATGTTGTTCAAGCAACTGCTAAACGATATAGCGGTTTGTGTTCCCTATAGGAATAAATGGAATCAGAGCTGTTGAAACTTCTAACAACATTTATAAAAATGTAGGATTTACCTGATTTGTTCTTGAACTTGACAGTTGGAGAAAATATTGAATGTTTGGAGAACTCCCACAGAAACTGATAGAACCCTCTCTGGTGGCCTACAAGAAGAAACGTAAATACACATTTTTTAAATGTTGTTACATAGTTTATAAAATGTAGTTGCATAACCTTTTCACAAAATCCATAAAATGTACTTTAGGATCAGATACAGTAACACCAATTAATCATACTGAACAGGTCTTCTTAGGAGATTGTAGAATACTGAACAGGTCTTCTTAGGAGATTGTATAATACTGAACAGGTCTTCTTAGGAGATTGTAGAATACTGAACAGGTCTTCTTAGGAGATTGCAGAATACTGAACAGGTCTTCTTAGGAGATTGTAGAATACTGAACAGGTCTTCTTAGGAGATTGTAGAATACTGAACAGGTCTTCTTAGGAGATTGTAGAATACTGAACAGGTCTTCTTAGGAGATTGTAGAATACTGAACAGGTCTTCTTAGGAGATTGCAGAATACCTATGCAGAAACGATGTTACTACTGAATTCCAATGTAATTAAATAGAAAATACACTTATAATATTGGAATGAAAGCTTACAGTAAGTGCATATACATGTATATGTGACATAATGCAATCTATCACCATAAATTGATTGTTTATGTACTGTATGTGTGAGGGAATCAGGAGATAGTTGAGAACCTTACAGTAATTTGTCATACATGTAGCATGTAGCATGTGTATCATACTGTATTTCCAGTGCTTTCTGAACTAGTGCTTGAGAACTCTGGAAGCCTTGGACACGGTACTTCCACCCTCAGACTGAGCTGAGGTAAGAAATGTGGCTTTCAAAAACCAGAGGTAAACTTAATTAAACTTAACACGGCAGAAAGGTTGCATGATTAGCCCCCAATATCTAATTTCTTGTCTGTCCATAGAAAAGTACATTTTAGCTGATAGTTCAGACAAGTCTGGCTGAGTCTCAGTGAGTTCCTCATCCGATGTCTTAGGTCTTGGACTACAAACGCCAATCAGACAACCATCTCTGCAGCACCCCACCAATCAGGCCATTATGGTAGAGTGGCCAGACGGAAGCCACTCCTCAGTAAAAGACACATGACCGCCTGCTTGGAGTTTGCCAAAAGGCACCTAAAGACTCTCAGACCATGAGAAACAAGATTATTTGGTCTGATGAAACCAAGATTGAACTCTTTGGCCTGAATAATATGCCATTTAGCAGACGCTTTTATCCAAAGCGACTTACAGTCATGCGTGCATAAATGTTTATGTATGGGTGGTCCCGGGGATCGAACCCACTACTCTGGCGTTACAAGTGCCATGCTCTACCAATTGAGCTACAGAGGACCACCCATTGGAATGCCAAGCGTCACGTCTGGAGGAAACCTGGCACCATCCCTATGGTGAAGCATGGTGGTGGCAGCATCATGCTGTGGGCATGTTTTTCAGTGGCAGGGACTGGGAGACTAGTTAGGATTGAGGAAAAGATGAACAGAGCAAAGTACAGAGAGATCCTTGATGAAAGCCTGCTCCAGAGCGCTCAGACCGGGGCGAAGGTTCACCTTCCAACAGGACAACGACCCTAAGCACACAGCCAAGACAACGCAGGAGTGGCTTCGGGACAAGTCTCTGAATGTCCTTGAGTGGCCCAGCCAGAGCCCGGACTTGAACCCGATCGAACATCTCTGGAGAGACCTGAAAATAGCTGTCCAGCGATGCTCCCCATTTAACCTGACAGATCTTGAGAGGATCTGTAGAGAAGAATGAGAGAAACTCCCCAAATACAGGTGTGCCACGCTTGTAGCGTCATACCCAAGAAGACTCGAGGCTGTAATCGCTGCCAAAGGTGCTTCAACTAAGTACTGAGTAAAGGGTCTGAATACTTATGTAAATTTGATATTTAATACATTTGCAAAAAAATCTAAAAACCTGTTTTTGCTTTGTCATTATGGGCTATTGTTTGTAGATTGATGAGGGGAAAAAGCTATTTAATCCATTTTAGAATAAGGCTGTAACGTAACAAAATGTGGAAAAAGTCAAGGGGTCTGAATACTTTCCGAATGCACTGTATGTGTTGGCCTAGAGTGTGCTTGTATTCCCAGTGAAATTCATTACTCCTTATACCTGCCTCGTACGTAAAGAAGAACAGCAGCACAATGAGCAATGCAAACAAATGGATATGAGGAAAGACAGCGAGAGAGAGGGGGGGAGAAAGAGAGCTGGGGAGAAAGAGAGTAGGGGTTGTTAGGGAGATGGGGATAAATAAAGAGATGTGCGATGTAAAAATGGAACAGGTTAGAGGTAGCATTCTCTTTTGTGCCTGTGAAGGTTATTTATTTTAATACCCACCAAAATAGTGTTACATTTAAATTGCATTTTGTGTAAATTGATTGTTATGGGTATAGGGTACATACACTGGGTACGTTCCATAGCTTTGGTCCAAATGAATGCACTATATAGGGAGTAGGGTGTCATTAAAGTGCGCTACGGAAAAGGGTGCCATTTGAGACACATACACTATACATTCCCAAGGGTTATAAAAGTTAAAACCCCCTA